AAGGTAAGGTAAGTAGAAGTTAAGTAAGTAACGTAAGTAAGTAAGAAGTAACGGAACGTACGTAAGTAGAGTAGTAGTAGTAGAGAGTAGAGAGAGAGAGAGAGAGAGAGAGAGAGAGAGAGAGAGAGAGAGGGAGAGAGAGACAAATACTTACCAGTGCAAAAGACCCGAAAGAGTTTCCCACTTGATGCAGCAAGCCTCAACACTTCCAACACAACTCTTGAGAAGCCGTGGACCAAAATGGTACAACCATCAAATATAAAATCTTGACTCAGCATTGCAATTGTTTTCCTAGCCTAAACATCGGTGAGTAAGGTCCTATTTTGTAACAAAGCAACAAGTTGCAGCAAAGAGAAACCAGAAATGGTATCAAAAAACACCGTACAAATAAGTTATTTTACATCATACCCTTAGGGATATTTCCCCGAACCTCTCTCCACGTTCAATTAGACGAGCCTTGGCAGCATCAAAGTCCTCATATTCCAAAGCTGAAGTCCTTGTAACATGGCGCATGAACAGGTCACAACCAGCTGATAGAGATATGGAAGTTGTGTCCCATGACTGATAGATACCATTATTCAATTGTCAGAAAGAAATAAAATATTAAATGAAATCAAAGAATTGAAAGGACGAGCACAAGTGAAATTTTTATTCATTTACGTGAGAACTAAGAGTTAATGACCATTATACATTTTTCCTTGGGGAAAGCAAACCATATACTAATGGTGATTCTTTCCTATAAAGAATACAAAGCTTCTAGCACGAGGGATTATGTTTTCAACAGCTAGGACATCATGAGAAACTAGACACAAATACAAGTTGTGATCAAAATAGAAAACCAGTCAACTGTATTAAATTCAGGTACATATAGAATACACTAAAATTTCACTTGTTCCATCAGCCAGTACAATAGTTTCAACCCGTTCAAACTAGCCGCAATGGGTTTTCTAACGCATGTTTATTTTAGATAAGAACTTTTTAGTGTGTGAACATGGTTGTGAAAGCCCATGTTCAGATGTCATAAACTTGTACTGGTATATGCTATTTTTGGGTTTTTCCCTTGGCCAAAACACAATCCATTGACAACTTCCAATGGTAAGTCTCTTGACCTTCTGATAATATAGCATTTCCAGTACTGACGTGGCAAAAAAACCAAAAGGAGACATAAAACACCACAAGGAATCAACATCAAGATCCAGCCAATATGCATGGGAAAACTAATGCATTTTTGTTTAGTTTTCCTTTCATCTTTTTCTTTTCCTATCTTTTCTGTTCTTTTTTCAGTTGTTTTTTTTTTGTTGTTGTGACAAAACAAAACACCATGAGGCATCTAAAGCAATTAACATGTAAATCATGAAAACATTATGAAGCCATGGTACCTGCAGGCCACTATGTTTTGCAAACTAGTTTGACACATTTTGCTAAAAAATTGTCCGCAATTTAGGATAAAGTTTCCATAACAGAGACCTCTTTCCCTGCAAGAAAAGGCAATGAACAGAAAATGGACTTATCCAAAATAGAAGGAAAATGGCCTTTTCAAAACATGCCACATCAAGGAGAAGTCCATATCCCACATGAATTTGTCAGAGAGCTGCTCTCATTCATGTGAAACCAAACACCTCATAAGGGACCCACACATACAGTCCACCTTGTCGGCAGCTTTATACATGCTCAAGACAGGGCCTAAGTTCTTACTCATCCATCCCAATCGATATACTTTTCAATTGATTCATTTCAAATTGCTTCCATAGCCAAAGAAGGAGATACATATGCATTGTCCTCCACCTCCTACAAACATGGAGAGGGTTCGGGTTTAACAACAGAAATGGATCCAGAGACCAATCACATCACTAAATCTCCCAACTGCACACATGCTCCAACACTTCAACCTTGGGCCACTCATTTAAATATACACTGTGTTTCACCCAAAATAAGGGGCCCCAGTGGGCGCATGGAGCCCATAATGGTTGCTAGACCCACCCATGTTCAACCAATCTAGAAATTGCAACTACCAATAACTAACGCCACTTGTTTCCCATACAATGGATCCAACATGAACAACACCAGCTGCATTCCCTTGAAGTTTTTTAGCACAAGTGAAATTGTTGCACAACCCATTTTCAATGCCAAAATCCATCGACCCAGCCGTTATTTCACTCATTTCCTTTTGAGTGGAGTATTGAAGTGATAAGCAGACTACTGCTACACATCACAAAATGTAATTTTCCCTCTTTGATGGTTAGAGAAGATAATATTAATAATCAGAATATAAAGTATTTTCTTAATGTACGTCACTAAAAGATCTTTTATTTGACGGTCGTATCAGAACATAAACCATAGTTTCAAAAAAAGTAAGAAAACAAAAAAAAACAAAACAAAAAAAAAAAAAAAAAAAACAAACAAACAAAAACAATCTTCACCTAGCCTGGCAGCAGATCCATGTTTTATGGAGGTTTCTTTTCTCCTCACAAAAGATCTTTCCACAACAGATATTAAGGAAAATCTCTAAGTTCCATCTAAAACTATCATCTTCCTTATGTAAAAATGGCATGTGTTGACATGTCTCACATGAATACATGTATGACGTGTGTTGACACACATCAGACACACGAATGGACAGTTCTGGGATGTACCTCCAATGTGTCTTGAAATTTTGAGTCATACACATGACACACAGGATGTCTAGATAAGACAATGCCCTAATTTATAGACACCTGTCTACTTCAGAACAAATGTCAAATAGTCTTAGACAACTATATTATTATTGAATTAATAAATTAATTTAATACGTAAATCACTATGTACAATTCCCTAATGGCATTGGCTTGGCATTTTATGCACATGTATGGATGTGATGTTTCTGATTAACCATTTTCTAAGTTGCCGTGGCGAACAAAACATGTATCTGTGTCCTTGTGGCTTTGCATCTTCCCCATCCAATAAGAAGAAAGTTTACATTCCCTGAATTATCAGGCAAAGATTGGCAAATGCACTTGAATTAGTTAACCCAAAAGCAAGACAAATAAAGGTTGGTTGGATAGACTTTGTGCTTGGGTTGCAAAATAAAGTTCATTTATATCCATGGGACTTCAAGGGGATGCAACTGGTCTTGTCAATGTTGGCATCTGACTGTTAAGGAAAAAGTTGCGCCAAGTATCAACTGTTGAAGTTTCTATAGTAATGACCATTCTAGTTGACCTAATTTCCCCACAAGGGCCCTAGTTTAGGTGGATCACAATGTACATTCTGAATACATGGCCTAAGTGTTGGAGCACACATGCAAACGAAAGATGTCAAGAGGAATATTGCTGTATGATCCATCACTACAGTTAGCAATCTCAAGCATCTTCAAGTTACCTGGCGACAGATCCAGGTCCTAGAAGACACAAGAAACATTGGAGAATATAATCCTTGAGAGCTTGAAATAGGAACTACAAAACTGCAACATTGGCACCTTATTCGTGAATGATCTTTTCAATGGGCAAACATCATCAAAATTCAATTCTTTAAGTGTTATTTTAATTTTTTTGATATGTTCAACCATTATTATATTCTCATTTGTATCAAAATTTACTCATTGAGATGGTTTCTGTTTGGACAGCAACTTGTATTTAAGTGATTTCTCATGACTTCCCTTATAATCTACCTATCGATCTAACATTTTAAGGTTAGAACTCTCTCACTGGAAGAACAAGTGAGTGAAAACGCAGAAGGCAACCCCACAATATTTGACTCGGATTACAATCTAATCTCAACACATAAAAAAAGGACACTACCCTCTATTTATAGAAATCCTAGAAGACTTCTTGACAAGGAAGGACTTGCTTCCTGTATGCTTAGTGATAGGTCATCCATATGATATGACCTGTAATTTCAGCATTTTGAACTTTGCCTGAAGTGCTAGGTTCAAATGAAAATGCAACAGATTAATCCTCATTTATGTAGCATCTGTTTCTTCAGGATTTCTATCGATTTCAAATTCAAAATGCATATTAGTGAGCACGTCTAGGGCATGCTAGAGTTTCAGAATACATCAAACTTTCATGAAAAATTACTAATAAAAGATTAAATATGCCAATAAATAGACTCTAACAATTTATATTCTAAGCGGAAATTACAATAGAAATACAGGAATGGGCTCTAGGTAAGTGTTTAGGGTGGAAAAACTTACAGGATGTCATAACATGACGTCAAGAGTTCCAGCCGTACCAAGGTCCCAAGCTAACATTAAATAAAAATGAAAAAGTAAATGGACATATTTTTACATTTCATTATTAGATATTATAAATTATGACAATCTATAATAACATTCAAACACGGTCCTTTTAGATATAAAATACTAGAGTTTCACAATATTTAACTTGTGATTCTTCGTCTCTCACCCATATATTCTATTAAGAATAAAATAAATCAAAACTGACTCAAACGAACATGAGATGATACTTTTCTTAGATTTTCTATAAGCTACTTGGATTGGAACCATTTAGAATTTGTCATCATTCTTAGAAAATAGGATACATATATATATATATGGGTGTGGTTTGTATAGAGCCTAGGCTCTAAACAATCAAATTCGAGCCTCCCTTCAAATAGTGTCGAGAAATGTGGTTTCATTAATGGAAATCTTTGTGATAGCCTTAAAATATATTTTCATCTTTATTTATAAAGTTTAAAGCTTCAAAAATAGTGCAGATCGACAGATCTATGAAAATTTAAAAATTTTGAAATTGACGGTCCAAAAATGCGTTACAAAATAAACTATTTCGAACTTAAAATCCATTTTTTTTTCTCATGCCCATGCATCTTGATGTCGAGATGATCAATTTGAGGATATATGAGCATCAAAACAACCTCTTCTAGTGGAATTT